GAAGAAGAAGAAGAAGAAGAAGAAGAAGAAGAAGAAGAAGAAGAAGAAGAAGAAGAAGAAGAAGAAGAAGAAGAAAGAAGAAGAAGAAGAAGAAGAAGAAGAAGAGAAGAAGAAGAAGAAGAAGAAGAAGAAGAAGAAGAAGAAGAAGAAGAAGAAGAAGAAGAAGAAGAAGAAGAAGAAGAAGAAGAAGAAGAAGAAGAAGAAGAAGAAGAAGAAGAAGAAGAAGAAGAAGAAGAAGAAGAAAAGAAGAAGAAGAAGAAGAAGAAGAAGAAGAAGAAGAAGAAAGAAGAAGAAGAAGAAGAAGAAGAAGAAGAAGAAGAAGAAAAGAAGAAGAAGAAGAAGAAGAAGAAGAAGAAGAAGAAGAAGAAGAAGAAGAAGAAGAAAGAAGAAGAAGAAAGAAGAAGAAGAAGAAGAAGAAGAAGAAGAAGAAGAAGGAAAAGAAGAAAGAAGAAGAAGAAGAAGAAGAAGAAGAAGAAGAAGAAAGAAGAAGAAGAAGAAGAAGAAGAAGAAGAAGAAGAAGAAGAAGAAGAAGAAGAAGAAGAAGAAGAAGAAGAAGAAAAAGAAGAAGAAGAAGAAGAAGAAGAAGGGAGAAGAAAAAGAAGAAGAAGAAGAAGAAAAAGAAGAAGAAGAAGAAGAAGAAGGGAGAAGAAGAAGAAGAATAAGAAGAAGAAAAAGAAGAAGAAAGAAAAAGAACCAGAAAAAGAACAAGAACAATTTAAAGAAGAACATTTTGGGGTCGGAAGCACCCCAAGAGAAAGTTAGGCTACTCTTTGTGACTCCGAATTGGGGCGGAGTTTTCAATATCCAAGTCATAAATCATTTGAAACGGCTAGGGCGTTGAACCCACTTACCAAAGAAATGAAGTAGAAGCCTGTGATATTTTATGAATATTCACACCAACATTGTGAGCCAACAAAATTATTTTTTAGACTAAGGTGCGAATATATATCTATCAGCAACGTTTCTCACAACTAATTCTTTCCTACATCTCCTTCTTTTACATTTCTCCTTCTCTCCATACCTCCTTCTTACTTGCTTTTTCTTATTTCATACTGCTCCTTCTTTCCTACTCCTTCTCCTTCTTTCCTACTTCTTGTTTTTAACACTTCTCCTTCTGTCCCACTTTTTTTTCGCACATTTCTTACACACTTTAGGTCTTTTCCACTTCTCCTTCTATCTCTTCAAATTTCTAATTTCTCATTATTTACCATCTCGCAAGCTTTCCCGTCTCTTATCTCTCATCATCCGCTACCGCTCTTCGCTCTTCTTTTTCCCGGTTACCTCTCTCCATTCCATTATATCTCTACTTTCTGTCAATCCATCCAGTTCTACCCCCTCTACCTTTCCACTCATATATCTCTCTCTCCCTCTCTGTTCACCCCACCCTTCATTGTTCCCTTGCCGTTCCCTACCTATCTCCGTCCTTCTCTCCCCGCGAACCTCTCCACTCTTTTTTTTTTTACTTCTCCCGCTCTCAGTCTCTTCAACACTCACCCACCCCACCCAGCTCTTCATATGTGTATGTCTGCGCGTATGTATGCGCGCGTGTCTTTGACTGAAATGATTTAATAAGTTTAACTTTAGAATCCTTGCTATTGCTCAAGTTCTTTTACCTTGGCGAGAATGAGAAGAACAGGAAAAGGTAGAAAAGAGAGAAAAACATTAGCAAAGAAAACATAAGTTAAGCCGAATAACTAGGTGACAGGTATGTATTTTCTTGGGAAATGAAGTATGAGGAACATCTAGAAGAGATAAGTTAATAACAAGATGACTGAAATCTAATAAGCTGACTGGTAACTGGACCTCGTTCAGTGCTCAAGCCTTCTTTGTGTTTGTAAGTTGGTTATTGATTGGTTGTGAATTCTTTGGAAGACGTGGCGGAGACGACCATCCTTCGTGTAGAATATGACAGGTGTCACATCAGACATCAGGGCGGGGAGTATAGAGGGGTGGGGGTGCTTAGACGTGCTCGAACACGGGTGCTTAGCCATCTTGAGTCTCAATCCCTCCCTTTTACTTTTTGAAGAAACATTTTTATGGAATCTGAATGGAGCATCAAACAATGGATAGACGTTCTCTCTCTCTTTTTTAAACCTATTTGTTTGTTTATTTTATATACATATTTCACACACATTATTATTTGTCATGCAGGAAATTGTTGGTGTTATTATTAATATTATGCACTTTCCTCTGGGTTCCTGGGTCCCATTATGTGGGTGTGGGGGGGGGGGTTAAGAGACTCACTGCCCCCAATAAAGTTAGTTGCGTATCCTTTACAGGACGTTGCAGAACCAGCCCAAGCATTTTTTCGCGGTTGTGTTTGTTCCAAGGCAAATTTTATGTTCAGCTCATGGTACCACTGTCGAAACAAAACGCAAGACAAATAGTTTGCAGCTGGGATCGAGCCCCGCACCGCGGCATTACGAAGCGCGCTCGCAAAGCCTAAGCAAACCCCCAATAAACATGTCGTAAAAGCTGACTACTTAGGGCAGTCTCCTTCAAAGTCGGAGTGCATGTGCCTCAGAGGCAAGGAGCCAACATTCCGCATACAAATAAGCCAGTAAAACGGATGTGTCTGCAACTCAAGTTCTGGAACAAGACTCCAGAAGTGGACGAACAACCAGAACTTTCCGCCGGGGTTTACAGCATGTGAACGCTAAAAAGAAGGAGATTATTACACACGTAAACAAGGCTTATGCCTCTAAACTTTATCTTGTTTAAAGACTAGGAATTTTTCAGTGATAAACAGAGGTTTTATCTTCAGATCTCCACTGGCGTTGGCACAAAACAGCAAACATAGTATTATCTTTTGTCGGGCAATGCTATTTTCTCCTTATTGATGAACGTTTTTTCAAGTCAGTGGCTCTCAAACTTCTTATGCCGCTACCCTTTAATTCAGTTCCTCGTGTTGTGGAGACCCCCAACCATACAATTATTTTCGTTGCTACTTTGTAACTTCAGTGAAATGAAAGAGCTGACAGGTTGGCTGGATCCGCTATCACTACCGACGGTCAGCCTATGGATCATGCTGATATTATCAATGCCCTCAGAGAAATGGGAAGGATAGAGGACTTTGGTGGCAGTGAATCCACATCACTCGCCAGAATGGCAGACTTGGGAATTAAGATCGGCACAGCAAAAAACGAGACGCACACCAGACACGCCAGAAGACTTGTTAATCAACATAGAACTGGTACTATTAGCCATCGGACGTTGGGGTTCATACTGAGGGGAGGATCTGAGCACCTATGGACATGTCCGGAGTGCAATGAGGATAACCCAACTAACTAACTAACTAACTTCAGTGAATATGTGTTTCCGATGGTCTCAGACGACCCCTATAAAGGGCTCATTCGACCCACAAAAGGGTCGCGAGCCATAGGTTGAGAAACGCTGTCTTAAGCATTTCTTCCAGAAAAAAAAAAAGTTTCATCGCAGTTGAAAACTTGGTCGGTCTGTAACAGTCTGACTCCGCCAGTTTATGAAATACCTTGAAGGAACTGTTGAGCGGCTTTGTTGTCAGCACTAGCACCTTCTCCGTGTCTAACAACACTGGACACCGGTTCTGTTCTCACACCATCCTTTGCTAGCTTGAAACTCTTCACCGATGTATGTCTGTGCTACTGGTAGCGGAGGGCAAGTTCTGTGATAGATCTTTGTGAAAAGCTTGACTTTTAAACAGATCATATTTGGAGATACTTGGTCTGCTTTCAGTTTGATATCACAAACCCAGGCAAGCAATAAATTTTCCAATTTTTTCAGTAACTTTGATGATGCAATAAATACTCCTTTGGCCACATCCATTTCTGATCAAAACCTGCTCTCTTGAGAACTGTTGCTATGGTGGAGTTGGACACGTTATGCTGCTTGCACAAATCTGTTTGCCTAACTCCTTACTAAGATTTTCTCACTATCTCTTTCTTAATTTCTATTTTGATTTCCCTCTTCTCCTCTTTATTATTTTTTCTTTGGCAAATATTGGAAAGTATACGTGATATCTAAATAATAATTTGAATTCTTTTCCCATAAAGACCCGCTGACAGGTGTATAATTTGATTACACAAATACTGACATAGATAACGACAACAAAAATGTACGTACAGCTAGCTAGCTATTCGTCGGACATGGTTGCATCGTATTCTAGATTAATTCTTTAATTATTTTTTTTTTTTTCATGTGAACATTACAAATTATTGAATTGTATATTTATGCCTCTGCGAAGTTAAACATTTTATTTTTCCATCCCTCAGGTTGGCGCTGGCTGACAGAAGTAGCCAGAATTTGTAGGTCGCCAGACCAAGGAAGAAAGTGACTTGTCAAGTCCGGATCTCTACATCAAATAAACGATTTGCTGTGCAAAGAAAAGGGCAAAGATAAACGAAATTCAAATCCAATGTTTACCCCCATAAACTTGTTCTGTTATTTTCGCCCTTCGCTGCTATTTGCTCAATTTTGGCAGACGATAAGCCGGATCGTTTTATACTCCACGGCCTCAACTAAAACGCGGAATCTGAATTTTTTTTTAAGTGTCATTAGCATAACATTGCAAGTAGAAAGAGTTTAATTAGTACGTTTTATTTCTTAATTCTTTAAGCTAACTCGCTAAACTTTGAAAATTGACATATTAACTTGTGTGAAATAAGAGATGTGCTAGGTGACATATATTAATTACTAGAACTGTGTTTGTTTTCTGCATGAAGTTGTGCACATTGGTTTTTGGCGGCACTACCTCTTGGATTCAAACCGTCAGGGCAGAGATTCTTATTTGTCGGCGTAGCAGCCTTGACAACAGAATATAGTGTTCGCCCCAGGATATCTTATGCCTCTAAACCTCAAAGATAACGCCTTTTTAGCATTACTGCGCCTCTAACTTAGCTCCAGTATATATAACGGTTAGAAAGACGGCGTTCTTTTTGGGTTTTATTGGGCTTGCATCTGATCATCTCTCCAATAGACGATACATTTTCAGCACCAAGCAAACAGACATTTTCGTTTCCACAATGAAGTTCAGAACTTGTGTAGCCATTCTGCTGGTCAACATTGCAGCGTTTGTGTACCTGTACCGACCCGGGCAGCTGCAGAACTTTCTGGACAGTCTATCGCCGGTTCAGCAGATCCTTTTCTTCGGGACTTTGTTAGGACTTTCAGTGCTACTGTTGTGGTCTACCTTGCCGGCGCCTCGAGTTGATCCTACTGGCAAAGCTGTATTTATAACAGGTGAGTTGTCTGCAGGTTTTGTTTTTGTTCGAGGGAAAAATGTGCCGGTGCCCCAAATAAAAAGTTGACAGTACTCACCACAAGGTGTCCATTGCAGATTATTGCTTGAAAAAATGCATGAGAGCATGCATCTTCCCTGTAACAACATAGGCATGTGAGGTATGGACTATGTCCCAGTCCTTAAGAAGAAAAAAAATAGAGGTTTGTGAGCTAAAAAGCTACAGAAAGATTCACAAAATATGGATAAAGAAAAGCAAAAATGTGGACATATTTAAAGATCTGAACATCAAGGAAGACTGGCTAATAAACAGCATTTTGCTTCGGAAGCTGAAATATCTTGGTCATATCAATCCCTATGGCGAATTGGAAAAATATAATAGCAGAAGGTATGGTTCCAGGAAGGAGGGGCAGGGGCCGACCAACACGAAAAATTGGCACGGGATATAAGTGACTCCTTGAATATGAAAGTACACGAGGCACGAGAGCTGACGAGAGACCACGTTGTTTTTTTTTTTTTAGGCAGACAGTGATGAGAGCGACGTTCTGCTAAGGACCTGCTACGTGATGATGATTTTCCGTCAACACCCTTGCGACTGTGTGAATCGTTCAAAGGAATAAAATTAGCTGCCCTCGACACCTTAATTAACCCCTGTATACTCGGTGTAGCACATGATGATGATGAGCTTCCTTTCAAATCCGGAAGTTATTAAACCGGTGCTTACATCGCCGCACCACAATCAGAATTCATGCGGTTTTTGTCGGCCAACCATTTGCCGTAATCATCAACACACACCCTACCGTAAATACACGAGAAGGTCGTGTAAATATACAAGTTCTTTTATTCTGGTTTCCCTCTGGTATCTCCCCACCACTCTCCCGGGTTTATGGGAATAGGAAATTCATCATCTACACGTGGAAAGGTCACCAGGTCTGAATGAGCTTTCTTGTTTAGGATATTGACGTTTGTTTGGGCTTCTTAGAATGTTTGAACACAGGTAGCTTTGGGCGTGGTAGCGGTTGGTTGGGTATGGGGGAAACTGAAAGGAATCAGACGTATAATGTATACACGAAAGACATAAGGATAGAAAGTCATAGATAGGCAGAATAAGAGAAAGTCGTAGGTGATTTGTCTGCCTGTCTATATGTCTGTCTGTTTGCATTCATCTGTTTGTGTCTTGGGTCTCTATACAGACAGAAACGGACATTTTGAAACATGAGTTCAACTGAAAAGGCGAAGTGGTGTGTCCATAACCTTCAGTAAGTGGCTATCAAAGCCTGTGAGTTTCTCTCAGTGTTTCGCCTTGAAAAGTTTTTTTTAATTTTTTTAAGTTGACCACCCCCCCCCCCCCCCCCCCATCCTCCCAACCCCTTCTCCATCTTCCCCCACTCACAAAATTGCAGTCTGTAGGATTAACTCCTTGAGTACCAACAATTTTAACGGAGATGCCCATGTGTATAAATCACCAATAGGGAAAACTCACGGTTATTGCTTTCAAAGACTACTAAATGGGGAAGCCAGATTTCTTAGTATACTGTTACCATCTATGGAAATGACTAGACCACATTACATGCTGGGTGGCATTTACAGAAGTGCTAATCACACATCACACGTTGTTTAAGACTGAAACAGTTAACACCCTAAGGATGAGTAATGTAACTGGTTCATGATGACGGTCTGGTGATCTTCTTCTTCTTCTTCGCGTTCACCAGCTGTACACTCTGGCGGAAAGTTCTGGTTGCTCGTCCACTACTGAACTGCAGTCCTGCTCCAGAACCTGAGTGTTGCGTGTGCATCAGTTTTACAGATCTCATTCTCTTGAATACAGACTGTTGGGTCCTTGCCTCTCTGGCAGATGCACTCCGACTTCAAAGGAAGCTCCCCAATTAGTCGACTCTTACGACATGCTTTTGGAGAGGTGATGAAAGCCTTCAAGTTTTCAGATACGAACATTTTGTATACAAAGACAACGACGCCAGACTACATCCTTACCTGTGATAGGGTCCCTTTCTAACACCGTGGATCGGGATCGACCCAGCCTAATAGAATGTTTCGCAGCTCATTTTCAGATTTGTTTGGGCGACTTGTCTGGAAAAGAAAGACGACCAGGGAAATGGACGTGGTTGACCTGTATTGCGGCCTAGTTAGTATCCGTTAAGGGCTAGCTTTCCACCCAACGACATAATTTCTTAGTAAATGTAAAGAAGCATTTTTTCAAGCCTTCAGGCGTATTGGGCATATAGGGCTAGACCTATATTTTATAGACCAGTCAGCACTTGGTGGGT